GGGGGGGGTGACAAACCATTGAAAAGGAAAGCGGGAAGACACTCTCCTGGTTTTGGGGGGGATCTAGTTTTTTTTTTGGTGTCTAGAATAAAACGGATTCTTTCTGAGAGGGGAGAATCAAAGCTATTGATGGGGTGTTAAGAGGAGGGGGAGAAACCACCTCAATTGGGGGGTGGCGCTTCCGTGGGAAAAGTTGCAGAGGGTGAGGGGGAGGAAGAAACCATCTGCGTCGGAGGAGGAGGAGGAGGAGGAGGAGGCGAAGGGGGGGAGAAACCATTCCCGAGGGGGGGGGGGTTGTTTCAGAGCCCGGGTATGGGGGCTGCCCGGCTCCCCGCAGCGCCGTGGAAATCGCAGTGATTTTCCAAACGTGCAAACCTCAAGGGGGAGAAGCATCGGTTCATTTGCGGTGCCAGATAACGCAGCCCTGAATGAAGACCTCTTGCCATTTTTAGAGGCACCTTGAACAGTTTTGAGAAGAGACGTATCTGGTCCCTAGCGAAAGCGGATATCAGTTGGAGCCCTGGTCCCGCACCCTGCGGGGTTGTTGCGCTTGATTCAGTGGGAGCAAGGTCATGCCCAACCAAGCGGACTCCGCAATGTCAGCGGGGTAGGGGGACCCTAGGACTGTGCGCTGGGCTACATGCATCAGGGAACCAGTGAGAAAAGACTTGTGCAAACTGCAGTCAAATGTGCCAAGCAAGCAAGTTAAAAAAAAAAGCAAAGCATGGTTCAATTTTGTTCCTTCTTTATACCAGTATGAAGCTGCAATGCTGCAAAGACTTCCACGTGTACTTCACTGGAAGCATTACTTTTCACTGTAACTGGTACATTTGTAGCCAGAAATGTGATTTTTTTTCACGTTGACCTTTTGGTAGTTAGCCCATTTTAGAGATGGGGAGCCACAGACACAAAGTGCCTTTCTTATCACGGAATAGTATACGCTTTTCTGAATACAGCCACTAAACTCTTCTTAGTGCATCTGAAAACATTGAGTTCAGCAAAAAGCGTTTTTGATAGATACCTGCTTTTTTTTTTTTGGTAGGGCAGAGGCTATTATTTCTATCTGGGAAAATGTGCAGGTATGACTTTGTGGCTTTAGTAGCTGGCATCCGAATAATTAAGCTGTGCACAATCTGTTCAGTAATAGAAGGGCAATTGTCTCTGTTATTGCTCTTTGATCAAAAAATTCAATTAGAGACCAGATTACAATAGAGGAGAATCTACCTCCCCATATTTATGGAGCTTCATAAAAGCTAAAATGAGACAGACTGATCTTATAATTACAGAGATGACTGACTATTCGTGTTTTGCACCCATTAGCCGTTTCACTCCCACTGTGAAATAAAAATAAAACACGTTTCAATGTCCCCGAGAGATGGGTTTTTGTTCCCATCTCCTCTTTATTTTTACATTTGTCATGTGACTTGGATGCCGGAATTACAGACAGCTCTGCTTTTCTGCAGAATAGGCAATGTCAGTACCAGCTCCTCATCACAACCATGCACTGCTCTGCTGGAGGACCAGTTAATGTTCTGGAGGTAAGAAGCCAATTTATTCACCACGCCCCTTCAGTCCTTGGTTTTTTTCTGCAGGGACAGTTGTTCTAGAAAAAGCACAGGTTTGCAAATAGCCATAAGATGGAAACTTTTGCTTTGCAACAGCCTTGTGTTTGGATTCCAACCAGACCTGCAGATAAAGACTCTTGTGCTTTATAGATCCTCAGACCCCTTCTCCAGGATGCTTATTATAAAAATCATGTAGTAAATAATGCCTTGCTCTCCACATTTTGATCAGTAGATTTCAAGGTACTTTACAAAGGGAATCAATTATTAGTATCACTAAGATGGGAAACTAGTTTGGCAAATATTGGTATGCCTCAGTTGACTCCTCTGTAAAATGGAGAAGGAAATAGTTCCCTTTTCCATGGATATTTTTGAACCTCTGCTTGCACAGCAGCACGTGAGTGTCAGATTTGCAATGTTATGGACATGCACAGGAGTAAAACAACAGCCCATTAGAAGATGACAGAAAACCATCAGGCCACTTCAAAAACAAATAGAAGAATATTTGTTCTAAAGTCTGGGGCCTGATCCAGAGAGGGGCAGGGTTGCCTCTGCTCCCACTGCTCTAATGGGAGCTGTAGATGCTCAGCATCTCTCAGGATTGAGCACAAGACATGTTTGGATATACCGACTTCCTTTACACAGTCCATTAAAGAAGCATCATTTCTCTTGCAAACTGTTTCTCAAGGCAAAAACAATCCTTTTGGGATGTTTGTCTGTGAGGCACCATCCTGAGGGAATAGCTTCAACTACTCAGATTGTTCTTTGAGTTTCCAATATGTCATTCAGCAGCTGGAGAAACATCAAATTAGATCTCATTCAAAAGCTCTTTATCAGAGCTTAATATGATCCCAAAGATGTGCAAGGTATATCATGACTAGACAACAGAATTGTATTAGCTCGTAAGAGAATTGTAGGGTTTGGACAGCTTATATACCATATTTACCCGAATCCAGTATGACTTTGGATTTAAGACAACCCCCCCCCCCAATAATTAGATTCTAGACATGGAAAATGTATAAATTTGTTATAACTTTGCATGTATACAATCTAATTATTGGAGGGTCATCTTAAATTACTATTTGTCCCACCCAGCCACTGCAGGGGGGCAGGAGGCAGGAAGAGTCAAGTGGCCTGACCCCTGCCCCTTGCCACCTGTCTCCCTGACCACGTGCCCCTCCTGCTGCCTGCCACTCCAATGCCTGCCTGGCCCCAACTGCTTCCAGTGTTACCTAAACTCACCCAAAGGTGAGGGCTAGGGTTAAGGCACCCCTACCTGTCTTTCACCAGGGTGGTAACTGGCTTGGGGG